TTCTGTTTCACTGACACCGTCTCCTTCCAGCCTCCACCTCCATCCCACCACCCCTCTAGTTCCCTTCTCTGTTTTATTTTTCTCCAGTCACTTTTCAACATTATATATAATAATAGATTTCTCCTCAACATTTTATATAATATATAGATATATTTTCAACATTTTATATATAGATTTCTCTTTTATAAAAGGTATAAAGGTATTTTATACCTTTCCCCAGAAGAATATTAGCTCCATGACAGCAGGGATTTCTGTTTGCTTTCATGATGGAAAAAAGTCCCCAGTGCCTCAAAAATCATCTGGCACGTGATAAGCACTTTCTTCGTATTTACTGTAAGAAAAACAGTTTTTCTGAGAAAAAGTTTCTAGAGCTTTTCTAATCATATTGTTTACACAATTATAAAATGATAGATCATCATCCTACTTTACCGAGGCCAAGGAATTCTGGAACATACGTTTCCAGAGGCTGTCACATTCATGTATTTTTTTTAAAATTTGGTCTCCCATAGCTTCTTTAAAAATAATACATAAAGATATAAACATAAAAAGTTTGAGAATTTTTATTAAAAAAAGTAAAACTCTTGTTTAATCATAGTTTTCCACAGGGATGATCATTTAATTCTGACACCCATTTATGTTTCCATTTTTACTGAATTGCCAACTTGGTTTCAAAGCCTATAGATTTCAGTTGCATCTTTTAATGTGGTTTAAGAACATTATATTCTTTTGGCTTAACCACATTTAGTTGGAGCCATTGTTGTACAACAGTATTTATCAGGGCAATTTTCAGCAAACATTATGAAATTCTTAGAAATCATGTAAAATTATGGTTTCAAAATAGATGTATTGGCATTGCCAGAAAGAAATGCTACAACCTTAGCCACGCCCACTTGTGGGCACAAACGCTTCACATTTGTTCATGTATGTGGTCTCTATGGGCAGGCAGGCCAGCCAGACTTCTTAACAATCCTGGCAAATGTTAATAAAAGAAACTGGGAAACATAAGCACTGCATCTTTTTTTGGTTTGTTTGGGTTGGTTTTTTTTTTTAATAGCAAGAATATGTATATGTATTCATCTTTCTAGAACTGTTATTCTGCTAGCTACACAGTTTGATTTCTGTGATAAAGTTGGAGATTTTGAAAACAATTTAGATTTGTTTTTATAATGTCAAAGAATTACTGTTAAATTCAGTTAGTAGTGAAAATGGGAAGAAATAATATAGTGCTGAAAATGAATTCAGAACAAGATGCAATTCAAAATAAAAAACAATGCAAAAGGAGATAGACCCATTGGAAATGGACCATGGTATAAATACCACATATTAGCCCATCATTGATTGTATCTGCAAAAAGTGATCAAGTTGTACAGAAATTCTGTACAAATACACTTTCAACTTAGAGATGACTTCAAAGGAAAACTTAACTCTACTGGTTGTATTTAGAATTTGAATATGTATTTTGTAAGTATGAGGTTTAAAATGAATGTATTTGCATTGGGAGAGATTTTTGATTGGCTGAGAAAGGAGACTATCTTGTTTGGGGCCCATCTAACCAATATTCACTGGCTGCAGTAGCATGCCTTAAGCACAGTGGGCAATATGTGGTCCGTGCCCTTAAGGAGATTACACAGAAATTGGGGATGTAAAAAGCATATTTGTTTCCACGTGACCACAACAAGGCAAAGCTGTGTGTTATGAGTGCCAGAAAAGGGGACAGCAAAACTCAGAAGAAGCTTAAAGGAAATAGAAGCCAGAAGACTTTGTTTTTAAAACAGTGACCTTAAAAGATGGGTTATCATAGCAGAAGATGGAGCTGGCCTGGGCAATGGCTTATAGCCGGGAGAATTTCTGTGGCTTGTGAGTAAACCAGAGTCTCCCCTATGTGATCACAGGGAACCCCATGCACACATCTATTGTGGCATTTATTATAAGAGATTATAATGGTCTCTTTATCTCCCTCACTAGCCTGTAGTTTCCTGAAAGACCATTAAACTCATTATTTGCAGATTCTGTATTTGTGTATCCCTGCCTACATTTATTTGTAATTTCAAAATCAACACTTAGAGCACTTTTGTGGTCATTGCGGATACGAGTATGTGCAAAGCAGCGAAAAATTGGAGCCCCCTGATGCACGTTTCCAGCTGAGGTCAAACAAGGCCACTCTCTGCCTTCTCGTTTCAGCTCATACTGTAAACAAGTGTCCTTTTCACAGGCTAGTTAGTGCCATGTTTTTTGCATTTTTGTGCTTTGAGCTGCTGGTTTTCCTGTTTAAAATAGCTTCTACACAGAGCGCTGCCATGTTCTCTAGTCTGTTGTTCTCAGCACAGGAAGGCTGCAATGCACCTGATGAGAGAAAGTAGGTGTTCGACAAGCTTCATAGTGCTGTTGACCGTGGGTTCAATGTTAATGAATCAACCATATATATTCAGTAAGGTGCCTTTAAACAGAAACACACATAAAACAAGGTTATATATTGATCCGTTGATGAAAATGTCCTGACCAGAGGTTCTCAGAAACAAAATTTTATATTTCCCCTAGGAGCAGTGGTTCAATATTTATTGGATTGTCGGAAAAGTCATGATGCATTTTTGCAACGAAAAACATAGAAAAAAATACATCATGACTTTTCCGGTAACCCAATACTAATTCACTGTTTGCAGTAACTCTATAGATCATAGCTACTCCGAGTCATGAGAATTGACTGTTATCTGTTATTTCCGTATGCTTAGCACCTAGTGGCTTCATACATAGATGGCCAAAGAGTTTTATGAGCAAATGCCTTCATATATGGAATTGGGAGGAGTAAACCAGCTCATTAGAAATGTTAAATACTGAGTTCAGGAACTGGAGTTTTCATACCATGCAGGCAGTGGGAAACCGTGGGAGATCTTTCTGTGGCATTGAATGTGCCAAGTGATGTGATAAACAGAATGAATAACCCTGGGGTCCTGCTCTCAAGGAGTCACTGCATAAGCTCAAAATGTCCTCTACGAAGATGAGTTTCATAGGGACTTATAGGATGGATTGAGAATGAGAGAAATTGAAGACACAGAAACAAGTTTTGCAGTGACTGCAGCAATCCTGATATACTGTAATGCAGACCCAGATCAGGGTGCTGCTGGGAGAACGGAGGAGTGGGGACCAGCACTCCAGTTCTTGTGAAGTCAACATCAGCAGCCAATGACTCGATACAGAGGGTGAGGGAGGAGGAAGTGGAGGGACAAAATTCAAAACTAAAGTTTGCTGCCCTGACTTGGTTAGTTCCTGTGTTTGTAAAGGTTTTCCTCCTCGAAGCTTATTACTCTGTAATGTGCCCAGTTATTTTACAACATCAGTAATGGGATCAAAGTCCTCATCCTTTGTAACTAAGCAGCTGATGAATTGCCTCAGGTTTGGGGTGAGGGTTGAGAACAACAGATCTAGTTTTACAATTAGTAGTGAATTTTCATAGTTAATTAGGAAATTTTGCCTGGGGGGGGGCGTCCTGAATTGTTATACTTTTTGTTTTAAACTGAAAATATGTGCCATCTACATGAGTGACTTTCATGCTAATGGAAAGTTATATCCCCCATTGTATAAATAATACTAATGCAAATTTTACTGCTACATTTGCAAGTGGGTAAGACAAACCTATCATTCATTGAGAAATTACATGTGAAGAAATACAGAGACTCAGGGAGCAGCATCAGTTATGTTTGTGGCATATGTAAAGCTATAAGCATTGTAAAGTGAATTCTTCATTGTGAAGTGTTCAGTATCTTTCTTTGCAGTTTTTATAAATCGATAAATAAAACTTTATTTTCTCTTAGCATGATATTGATAGAAAACTTTAGGTTTGGAAAGCTATTTAGTTAAATCGGGTTATAATACTTTCTCAATGCACTTTTTTTCTATTAAAAGTCATTTTAAAAAAAAAAACAACAGTTTATATCTTACTATATGCTATTTGCGTTACCAATTGTTTCATACGGTTATGCGAAAATGACATCCTACTTGGAACCTTTGGAATAATACTTTTTTCCCCTGGCAAACTCATTTCAGATAATCAAGAATTGTAAATGTTTTTATGTTGATTTTTCAAGAAAGAATTTGAATGGCATTTTAAGCTAGCAGTATTTATTCTGTCTGTGGCTAAATACTGCATGTGTTTAATGCAACTTGAGATTAAAAATCAAAGGAATTTTGATGTTCTTTATCTTTTTTCATCTGCTTTGAGTTTAACATATCTTTCTGAACAAAGCCATGTTTGTAAATGATATTAAGTTTTGTTTGGCCCTCTTCTCAACTGCAAGTACTCAGTGGACCTTAATTCAAGGTTCTGCTCCCTGGACTGATTGATATATAAACAAAAGACAGATGGTGTAGAGATGACTCTGATGATAATTCATTTTTCAGCTAGTCATGAAGATATTTTGATTACAGAGTGTTTAAGTAATTATAACACAGTCTGCAATGTTAGTCTCGCTGCGAAGGGAGCACATGGAAAACAAGTTACGTGTTATTCGTGCCCAACAAAGGATGCTCTGTAGTGTAATGATTTTAATTCCTAATGCTAGATTAGGACTGGAGGAGTTTAAAATATGTCATACAGTAAGGTAAGTCAATTAAACACAAACCAAATAAAAAAGGTAACTGCACAGTTTTCAGGCATAAATATTTGTTTTGGGAAGTATTTAGATGTGACTATATGAAAGAAACCAGTATTTGTACATTTAGGTAACAGTCTGTATAGCTAATTAAAAATTACATGGCTTGACTTTAAGTTTATGTGAATCATAATTATCATGGAACTTGCTTTTTGTGTCATGAATTTAAAACTGGAATCAGAGCACTCACAATTCAACAGCATATTATATCCCTGCTGTTGTTAAAGCTTTGGGGGGAAAAAAAATGTCAAAAGGAGAAAAAATAATTAGAATTGTGTGAATAGATAGGCCATTTAAATTTTCATTTTCACGTACTAATTACAGTGTATACCTCTATTTTTGGTTTTACAATAGGATAATTGATAGCTTAGACGGAGTTCGTTTGTTGTGGTCTCTGCTGAAAAATCCTCACCCAGACGTGAAGGCCAGTGCAGCTTGGGCCCTCTGTCCCTGCATCCAAAATGCTAAGGTAATGGACTGCAGATCAATCAATTCTAGAATCTCTAATACTGTGTTGAATAATGTTATCATAGGTCACTAATTGCTTTTGACTTATTTTTGGTCATATTTATCTGGTAGAAAAACGTGCTTAACATTTGTGCCAAAATAATTTTTGAGCAGTGCCTTTTCCTGGCCAGTTTTTAAATGTCAAATGAGACTAGGCTAAGATGGCAATGCTTATTGCCAAGTTCTACCTGGTTGGTGCCATTGAAACAAGTACCCCAGGTAAATCAAGGTGAAGAAAGGTGGACCGTTCTCATATTTTGGCTGATAAGAAAATTGTATTTATCGACTATTTTCAGAACTACAAGACTGCTCTATCTTATTTATAGCTTGAAATACAACAGTGAGAGATCACTACATTTTTTTTGTTACCTTGAAAAAGTTGCTTAATTTCACAAATCCTATTTTTCTTATAGGTCAATAAAGACTGGATAGAAATCCCATGGATAAAATGTTTTCATGAAAAAAGACTGAACTGGAAATTTCTGAAGTCTCTTAGCTCTTTATTTGTAATTTTTTTTTATCTTTAAAGATCTCCCTTCAGTCTATTTCTATTATCTTTACTTAAAATATTTTGCTATAGGTTTAGAGATTTCCCTTTGAGATCCTTGTTGCTACAGATATTTCTCTCTGTTGAATATTTTTATCTAAAGGGCTTAAGTCCTGTAATAAATTTAACATGACTCTAAATGTCATCCTAAATATTTGTAACTAGAATAATCTTCTGTAAAAAGTGAATTTGGGGCCAGCCGAGTTGTTCAGTTGGTTAAGAGCTCACTCAAGAGTGCGAGCTCTGAGCAACAGGGTCACCGGTTCGATTCATGACCCAAGCTGAGCTGCCGCTGAGCTGCCAACAGGTGGCAGGATGGCTCAGCTTAAAAAAAAAAAGTGAATTTGATGTATACTAATAGTAGAGGAAACCTACTACAAACTGGTTAATAGAAACTTTTTTTATAACAGCAAAAAAATAAAGACACCTCAAATGTCAAACTACAGGAAAGTGGACAACAGGGTGATAGTATAGTCATACCATATCATACAATGCAGCAGTGAAAAACGAATGTACTTCAGCAATATATTCATTAGTGTTGATATATCTCATAAACATATTAAGCAAAATAAAAATAAGTTTCAGAGGTAGATATACAATATAATCCCTATTATACAGGATGCAAAGAAATTTTTTAAATGTAAAATTTAAATGTTATTATATAAGGAGCAAGAAATAAGCCTACTGGTGAAAGAGTACTACACATCCTCAAGGGATATTCTTTTCAGTTATTTGAACTAATCATCCCAACCCTCCATTCATAATATGAACAACTAATGATCACCAAATATTTAAGTAAGACTAGTGGTATTAGAAACAACCCAAGATTTTAATAGGAACTAACTAACTTCAGAGGAAGCAAAGATAATGTAATATATAAAAGAATATAACATTAAATTTTTTAAATTGTATCCTCAGAATGACCTCAGAAAGGGAAAATACTATGACCAAAAAGGCTCTTATAAAGAAGAAAATATTCATAGATTAAGAAAGGGTTTTTGGAAATTAAAAATATATTTGGCAAAACAGTGAATTTAATAGAAGAGACAAATACTAGATTGGATATGACTGAGTAATTAATTATCTGGAAGATAAAGTCTAGTAAATTGGAATGTAAAGTAAAAGTAAAAAGAAAACAGGACACGAAAAGACACATAAAGAGAGCAATTGAAAGGAAGAAATAGTCATTTAAAAAAAATGGATGGGGTTGGGGAGTTTCTGTAAATTGAAGATTTGAAGAAATATTATAGTCTTCAAATTGAAAGAACAACTTAGTGCCAAGCAGGAAAAACAAAGTTATCTACTCTAGACACAAATTCAAATTTGATGTTTCCAGAAACTAAAGGAAAGGAAAAACTTACATGAGAACAAGAATCACACCAGTATTAGACTTAACATCATTCACAATAAATTCTAAAAGAAAATGGAACAAAGACTTTACTGTCTTTGGAGGAAAATATTTTTTATCCTGGAATTCTATATTCTATAAAACTAGCATTCAACTACTAGTGTAGAGTAAGGACAGAATAAAGACATTTTTCTTTTACAATTGGCAAGATGCAGGAAGCTTATCCCCCACAAACCTTCTCTGAAAAAAATAATTACTTTAGAATATTTTCCTACAAAACAGAAGAGTCTAAGAAAAAGAATAACATGAGTTAGAGAAGCAATAATGAGCAAAAAATCATTAGAGTCTGTAGTTAAATATGAATTTATGTTGATAATACCTTTCAGATTGTTAAGAAAGATTTCTTTAAAAGTGATGGCATAAAATTTTAAAAAGAGCATATTAATACTATCATAATAGCAATCTGAATCTAAGCTACCAGATGATTAAAAAAACATGTTAGGTAGTGGAAGGTAATAGGTAAAAACATACTAAAGGTGTTTACTTTTCCTGGAGAGGGATGTATAGATACTAGTTAATTGTCAATCATCATTGATAATATAAATTTAAAATTTCTGGTCAAGGTGGCAGAGTAGGTAAACACTATGCTTGCCTCTTCTCATGACCATACCAAAATTACAACTAAACTACAGAACAACCATCATTGAGAATCACCTAGGTCTAGCTGAACAGAAGTCCTATAACTAAGGACATACAGAAACCACCTCGAGACTGGTAGGAAGGGTTGAGATGTGGGGTGGAGACATGGGGCTGAGACATGGAATGGGCTGGCCCCACACTCTGGTGTGGTGGTTAAAAATCAGGAGGGATATCTTGGCTATGGAGGTCCCCCGGGAGGAGCAAGGGGTCCCAGCCCCACACCAGGCTCCTCATCCCAGGGTTGCAGTGCTGGGAAGAGAGGTCCCCATAACTTCTGGCTGTGCAAACCAGTTGAGAATGTGGCTGAGTGAGACAGAGGGTGACTACACTCCCAGGTGCTCCTCTTAAAGGTCCTGCTCATGGACTCAGTGACAAACTCACTTGCTGTGAGCTCCAGTGCAGGGATAGCAGCTCAAAAGGCGCCAGGAACATACAGGGAGGAATTGTGTTGTCTGGCTTCAGGCAAGGGCTGGAGGGGCACTTTTTTACCAGACAGAAGTGCTAGCCAAATCCTTGCTCCTTTGTTGAGCCCTCCCCCTTCCCAGCATGCAGACACAGGAGGCCCACCATATTTGAGTCTCCATCAACCTGGCAAATACCTTTCGTCTGCCCAGCCCTAGTGATCCTCTGAGACCCTGCCCGCCCAAGTTTCACACATGCAAGCCACTTCCAGTGGCATTTCTGTACAAACAGCCTGTCTTGGCTCATGCTGAAGACTTTCCTAAACTCTCTCAAAGGTTCACAAACCACAAACAAGCAGCTTCTGATCTTGGCATGCCCCGTACTTTTTGCTGAGCAATCCCAAGCTCAGCAGTAGCAGTAGCCAACTTCAGTTCATGGCTTGGCCTCTAAAGGTACCTCCAAGCCCAGTCTGAGTGGGAATCATCTGTGGATTGCTTGGTGGCTCATGCCAGGTGGCCCCAAGCAGGACACACGCTGCAGATGAACTCAGCTGGGGGTGAGGCCCCTCCCAGGAGGCCCTGGGGCCGGCACCCCTGGTGACCAGCTTCAGACTAAGCTGAAGCATGAGTCAGGGCTGCATATGAGGATGACACACCCAGAGGGCAGACTGAGCAGGCGCATGAGCCCTGCTAAAGCAAACCCTGCTCTTTATGACCAGCCCTGGCATAACAGCTCTTCAACTGTAGTCACCAGCCAGTTTTCACAACCAATGAGCCTGAGGCTCAATCTCTTCCATTGATGTGCAAATAGCAGCCAAAGCTCAACTACAACAGGGGAGCACACACAGCCCACACAAGGGACACACCTCAAAAACCCAGCTCAAGGGATCAGGGAGACTGCACTACTGGGTCCCACAGGACACCTACTACATAAAACTACTCTACTAAGACTGGGAAACATAACAGCCCTACCTAATACATAGAAACAAACACAGGGAGGCAGACAAAATGGGGAGACGAATAAACATGTCACAAATGAAAGAACAGAACAAAGCTCCAGAAAAAACTCCAAAAACAAAATAGAGACAAGCAATCTGCTATACAGAGAGTTCAAAACACTGGTTTTAAAGATGCTTAATGACCTTAGGGGAAGAGTAGATGAATTCAGTGAGAACTTGAACAAAGAGATATGTAACAAATTGGAAGATAGAAAACATAAAGAACCAGTCAGAAATGAAGAATACAGTAACTGAAATGATGAATACGTTAGAGGGAATCAACAGTAGACTGAAGCAGAGGATTGAAGCAGTGATTTAGAAGATAAAGTAGCAGAAAACAATCAGAACAGCAACAAGAAAAAAAAATCCAAAAGAAAATGAGGGTAGTTTAAGAACCCTCTGGGACAACATCAAGCATACCAACGTCCATATCACAGGGATACCAGAGGGAGAAGAGAGAGAATAAGGAAGTAAAAATCTATTTGAAGAAATCGGAAACTTTCCTAAGCTGGTGAAGGAAATAGATATATAAGCCCAAGAAGTGAAGAGAGTCCCAAACGAGATAAGCCCGAACAGGCCCACACCAAGACAGATCATAATTAAAAGGTCAAAGGTTTAAAGCAGAGAGACAAGCTTAAAAGCAGCAGGACAAAAGCAGTTAGTTGACTATAAGGGGACTCCTATAAGACACTCAGCTCATTTCTCAACAGAAACTTTTCAGGCCAGAAGGGAATGGCAGGAAATATTTAAAGTGATAAAAAGTAAGACTCTACAACCAAGATTACTCTACCCAGCAAGGCTATCATTTAGAATCAAAAGACAGATAAAGAGCTTCCCAGACAAGAAAAAGCTAAAGCAGTTCATCAGCACCAAACCAGTATCACAAAAAATGGTAGAAGGACTTCTTGAAGAAGGAAGAGGAAGAGGAAGAAGATGAGAAATAAAAAAAAAGATTAAAAATATGAATAA